ACGCTCTATGAGATTCACCGTATAGGTTTCGATTCTATACTATTGTTGCGTGTAGTAGTTCATCATTGCCCCCATCTTCCGAGAGGAATGACCACGATATTGGCTCGCTGATATAATCACAAATATTTGGTTCCTCGATAGCATTATACCCTCCCACAAGATGCGCCCATGGCCTCCTCTGGTTCCTTCGTCATGAGGCTGTACCACCTGGATTGGTATCTTGCCGAGCCGTACGTAGCCCTCGGAGATGTAGATACCTCCATCATCACTAGCAAGCCTCTGTCTGTGTGTCCAGTCGTGCGCCTCTACGGCCATGTAGTATCGGCTGATCCCGACGCTACTGTGCAGTGTTGTGTCCATGTCCACGGTTACTACCCTAAAGTCTTATTCAGTGCTGAAGCCTTCCAGCAGTCTGTCACTGAACGTCAATTTGCCGATGGCCTCGAGTACGTTATGAGTGGCAGCGGCGGGGGCCAACGTGGGCAGCTCCCCCCTACTATTGTCGATGTGAAGAAAGTCCAACGTATTGATATCTATGGATACCATGAAACTCCAGAGAATGTTTTCGAAGTGCGATATGTTGACCCAGGTGTATCGTACAAACTTGCGCATGCGTACAAATCTTTGTGTGCTAGATCTGGTAGTAACGGTAAGATATTCGAGCTGCACATACCCTATACCTTGCAGTTAGTCTCTGAGCATGGGCTCGCTGCTGGTGCCACAGTCCACTTCAAAGCTGACGCTTGTTTCGTTCGCCCCACTGGTGAAAGGCAGTCGAAGTCCTTCCTCGAGGTCGATGTGCCCTGTACCGCCATCCATAACCCCGAGGAGGCATCTACCTCCCCCAGTTACCCCTCCTCTGCACGCCTGTCAACCTCTCAGCCTTGTAGTGGTACCCAACCTGCACCCTACCCGAGACCTTCTCCCCTGTCGGCCTCACAGTCAGCCGACTCTACCTCTATGATGTGTCAGCGTCTTAGAACTTTATGGCGTAGCGAGTACGAGAGGAGCTTAGCTGAGGGCGTCTCGTTCCCCTACCAACCGGAGTCACGAGCCACCGGCCGTCCGTCCCCACAGAGTATGCCCTGCCATATCGAGAACGCTACCAGGCTAGAGGCACTCCGGGAGTCCATTCGCAGTCAGGAGGAGGCCATTGACAGTGGGTCTCAGGGGGCGTATCAGACGCAGAAGGCGGCCCTTGCAGAGCTCTTCGAGGTCGTAGCCGATGCCGATGATCCTGACAAGAGTCCACTCCCACCACTAGGTCCAGAGCCTAATGAGTATGCTGAGAGTGTCGCATCGGGGTCCTCGGTGGGCAGTGATGTCGGGCTCGTGCCCATGTATACTATCCCGGAGAGGAAGACTGCGAGTGAGGATACAAAGGAGTCCGTCTTGGCACCCCGTATGAATGAGCTGTACGAGTTTACTCCAAACCCACCGTCGAGAGAAGCCCTCCTGGCAGAGTTGGACGAGGCGGTCGGCTTGAGCCCGAAGTACTTGTCGGCGCCTAAGCAGGGGGATAGGAGGTCGATCGACTACTGTACCCTGCTCTACCTAGAGGTAGCTATACAGCTCCCCAGAGGTATCGACAAATGGGATCCAACACTACACCCACTAGTGGCAGTGGTGTGTATATTGCGAGACCAGAGGCAAACCCCTCAGGAACGCACTTGGGTTGGTGTGATCGGAGACCTCCTCAAGGAGGAAGATGTCATTGCCATTGACCCTCTGGCCACCGTCGATCATCTCTCCTGCGAGTCTGAGCTCATACTCGCCTTGGACCGAATCTTCACCCAATTCGACCCAACAGTGGTCATCAGCTGGGACGCCTCCCGGAGGGGCATCGTCTTCATAGCCGAACGCGCCCGAGCCCTTGGCCTGCCCGGTGCCGAGAGTATGTTCCATCGAGTGTTCGTGCCTCCTGTCCCTGGACCCTTGGGGCCGTCGACTCTCTATGGGAGGATCACATTAGACCTGTGGCAGACGCTACGGCAAGAGGACTCCCTCAAGTTGGCCACCACGACACTACACGGTGCAGCTAAGCAGCTGCTCGGCCTCACTCTACCGAGGATACCAATGTGGTTGCTGCAGGAGTGGTGGACAGATGCATCGTGCTGTATCGATGCCTTCAAGTACACAGTCAGACTCTGCACCCTGGGTCTACAACTACTCGATGCTAGTGCTCTGCT